TTCTTATGGAGAATAAGTAAACTATTGTAGTTTGCTTGTTTATGAACATATTTTGATCAAATTTGAAAATTTATTTATATCATACTATTAACATTTTTCAAAAAACACTTCTTCACCCTCCCTGTTGCAGAAAACCTAAGTAGCCTACCTGTTAAACTAATGCTATTTAAATAGGGAATAAATGTGATATTTTTAAGGACAAATTTTAGAGTAAATGCAATCATGCAGATAAAAAAAAAAATTCGCTTAGTCTGCAGGTTTGCTGCGGCGGGGGTATTTAGGTATTTCATTGATTTATAAAAGTCCTTTTAGACCTCTAGAGATAAACCTATTAAATAATATGAGGCATTTCACAAATCTGTTGTTTGCTTCATCAATTTTAAAATACTTCCATACTTAGGAAGCAATTATAAAGAATTTATCACAAATTAGTCTATAAAACATCAATTTATGTTAGCCCTACTTCTACATTCCTGTAATAAACTAATCCACTTTCAATTATTATTCACAGACAAAACAAGTTTAATTATTTACATCAACATATTAATTATTGAAGAAATCCGACAAAAAGAAAGGCCCATTCCTCAATTCCAAAGAAACTTGACAGACGACAGACGACGCTAAACTACATTTAAACTTTCTCACCTCGCTTGAGAAAGAGAAAGACAAAAACAAAATTAAGTACAAACCACCGAACAAAGCATACAAACAATAACAAATAAAAGCCCTTTTTGGTTTGCTGAAGGAAGGCTTGGCAGTTTGTCATGTAGCCATGTAGTTTCATCCATTAATAAATACATTTTACCGTTGAACTTGAAATTTAAAAGAGTAGTCTTGCGCAATGCACAGTGTTGCCATTTGTCACGGTGGTTACAGATGGAATGCAATATGATTCGTTGAAATAATGAATAACCCAACATTAACCATTGTGTTTAAAAATATGAATTCAGTCACTGACTGGACTGGACTGAGGCAAACAGTTAGAGTGAACTGGACTGAGTTTGAGGTTGACATTCAAGCATTCAGTGCTATTTATGCTTCTGTATTACCATAGTTATAGGTGGTGCAAAACAAGTAAAATAGAGAACTGTATGAATTAAATAGGGATGGACGAGATTGGATTTTTAGTTCGAGACGAGACGAGACGAGATTTTTTATTTCTCATAAAATTTCGAGACGAGATCGAGACGAGATTTCTCTTCTCATACACAACGGGAAATGCACGTTCGAAATTTTTACCTGATTTTGTAACATTGTTAGATGACTGTTTAAATACTAAAATAATGATAATAGGCAAGAATATTAATTTACAATCTTTCATTAAATAACATCAGCATAACATTTTTTATTAATCACGCCTAACTTATTAAAAATGCCTACGATTAGGAAACATGGTGATATCAGTTAGGATAGAGTTCAACTTATCCTAAAATAAAATAAATCATAAAATAAAAGCAATATTAATTTTTATAAAATAGTTACTTGTTTTGACTTTTTTTATAGTAATAAAACATTCCTCACACTGCTTACATTTAAAAAAACTTCTCAAATGTTATTAAAGTAATATTATTAAAATAATGAAAGTAATATTTACATTAAAAGAATTAAAGTAATATTTACATTAAAAGAATTAATTAAATAAGAACGCCTTCGAAAAGGAAACGCAACTACAACACGCTCCTGTATTGCGGGTATTGCATTGACTTTCTGCAGGCGTTTTTAATTTTTTTTTTTTTTTTTTTTTTTTTTTTTTATTCTCGTCTCGATAAAAATCTCGGCCAAAAAGTAATCTCGTCTCGTGTAACGAGATTAAAAATTTCCCGAAAATTTCCCGAAATTTCGAGACTTGACCATCCCTAGAATTAAATAAATAAAATAATCCTGTAACATGTAACTATTATTAATGTTATTATTAATCAACCGCAGTTAAGGAAAGGATGGTATTAAGGTGGTGTAATAATTTTGTTGAGTCCAAATAAACCATTTAATTGATTCAGTCTTTATTAAGCTTGCCTTCTGTCTTCTGCTTGAAGATGGTGGAGCAATTGCAGTCGATGTTTGCACCACTATCAGCTGACGATAGAGACAACTTAACCAACTAACACTGAAATAATCATCCTATAGCCTACTATTGATCATATTTCATGATATATAATGCACTTTCTAATATACTTAAGTGAAAAATAATCATCATGGTTGACAATTTGAATTTTGTAAATGAGTAAATAAAAATATAACCAATTACAGTAGACTCCCTACTATCCGGGCTCCTCGGGACCGAGGCCAGTCCTGATAATGGGTTTTCCGGTTAAACCGACGTCCCCAAAAACTCGTTAAAACGTACTGTTTACTGTGATATTCAACTTAAATTTAGGAGAGCATTGTATTAAGACACGTGATCACTGGTCTCAAATCTTTCCCACGAGAACAATCGTTTCAGTACTGTCCACTTCCTGCCGATCTAGTCCGGTTAAACCAATGTGCTGATAAAAATTGTCCGGTTAAAGAGATGTCATTCCCGCCAAGTGTAGTCCGGTTAAACCGATGTCCGATTAAACCGATGTCCGGTTAAAAGGTGTCCGGATAAGAGGGAGTCTACTGTAACTTGGTACCAAAGGTATCGGTACCGACGTTTCACCATCGATTCTCAGTCCCGGTACTTTTCCCAAGAACCGGTGGAACCGACATTTGACATTAAGTACTGACCCATCACTAGTATTTAGATATATCAAAACAAAATAAAAAATATTTGAATTTCTCCCCAATAGTCTAGGCGCTAGGCCATGTCCCGTGTGCACTTATATGGCCCCTAAGTTTTGTTGCAAGGCTTTGTTTAACACACGTGATCACTGGTCTCAAATCTTTCCCACGAGAACAATCGTTTCAGTACTGTCCACTTCCTGCCGATCTAGTCCGGTTAAACCAATGTGCTGATAAAAATTGTCCGGTTAAAGAGATGTCATTTCCGCCAAGTGTAGTCCGGTTAAACCGATGTCCGGTTAAACCGATGTCCGGTTAAACCGATGTCCGGTTAAACCGATGTCCGGTTAAAAGGTGTCCGGATAAGAGGGAGTCTACTGTAACTTGGTACCAAAGGTATCGGTACCGACGTTTCACCATCGATTCTCAGTCCCGGTACTTTTCCCAAGAACCGGTGGAACCGACATTTGACATTAAGTACTGACCCATCACTAGTATTTAGATATATCAAAACAAAATAAAAAATATTTGAATTTCTCCCCAATAGTCTAGGCGCTAGGCCATGTCCCGTGTACACTTATATGGCCCCTAAGTTTTGTTGCAAGGCTTTGTTTAACACCTATGGGAGCTGAAAAATCATCTGGTCACGTGGTCCAGATCATGGTAGTTTGGCCGCCATATTGAAAAAATAGCCATTAAATTGCTAGATTATTTGCTAATTTACGTATCTCTGTACCCAGTGGTCCGATTTTAATTTTGTTAAGTTCACTTTACTCCTTAACTGAAGGCAAACAAACTTTGTCATTACACATGTTTTGTTAAACACATTATTTATTGAGATATATTAACATTTTGAATCTATATATTAAAAACTAGCTGTAACCCGCGGGCTTTGCCCCGTTTAACTTCTTAATTTTCAAGATCATCTCGTTCGCATGGCTCAATCACGTCCTGGTTGAAGTTTGTTCGCTACGCTCACTCACCTTTAGGTTGGAGCTCGTTCGCTGCGCTCACTTGCCTTCAGGTTAGCTCGTTCGCTACGCTAACTCGCCTCCAGGTTAAAGTTCGTTCGCTACGCTCACTCACCTTTTGGTTGCAAATTAGCTGTTGTCATAAATGTAAAAGAAATAATAGTGCTGCACCCTGTTGGTAATCCTTGTAACTTTGCTATTTAACATCATAGAACAGAACCAACTTGTTTAATTGAAACAGCTGTTAAGATTCAATAATTCCATTTCTCATAAGGTTAACATGGGAAACTCCAGAGCCACTGGGGCGGAGCCCGAAAGGATTTTTGAAATAAGAATATGCCTATATGTTAATCGGGAATGTGAGGTATCATCATGCCAAATTTCAGCCCAATCCGACCAGTATTTTTCGCGTTCACTTGTCACAAACATGCATCCAAACTTTCTCATTTATAATATTAGTAAGATATTGGGTTTTTCTTTTCAGAGTCGGTTTAGCTCTTTTACCGGACAAATTTTCATAATTATGGTCTTAAATTAAAGGTAGGATGCTCGCAAAAATTTTTTATCAAGCACCGGCATTCATTTATCTGACGTATATTTTGCGTTATGCACAAAAGCAAATTCCCCCCTGTACATTTCTTACGGGAGTTAAATTTGGGTTTTCTTTCCCGAGTTTGTTTGGCTCTTCTACCCAACAGATTTACATAATTTTGGTCTTAAATTAAAGGGATGCACACACAGATTTACCTTTAAGCATCATCATTCATTTGTATAATTTATTACTTGACCACAAAAATCCATTTCTTTCGAATTCCTTCTTAAGTTTTTGGAAGACTTTTTGTGAGGTTTTTTAGTACATTTCTTATGGAAGTTAAATTTGGGTTTTCTTTCCCGAGTTCATTTGGCTCTTCTACCCAACGGATTTTCATAATTTTGGTCTTAAATTAAAGGTATGCACGCACAGATATGCCTTTTAAGCATCATCATTCATTTGTATAATATATTACTTGACCACAAAAATCGATTTCTTTTGAATTCCTTCTTAAGTTTATGGAAGATCAGAGTTTTTTTTCATAGTCTTCCAAAAACTTAAGAAGGAATTTACACACACACACACACACACACATATGAGAGACAACACCGGTCACTACTCTGCGGGTTTACTTGGTCGGGTTGAAGGCAGAAGTGATTGACTGAGATTGCTAAACTTGTCACGTTAAACCACGGTAAAGTCAACCAATGTCCCTACTACAGGAATTAATACAATTTTCTTAAAATTCCATTTAAGATGAGGCTATGTTATGCTGATTGCTATTTAATATGTACCAGGTGATCCCTGCGAAGCAGCGTGATGTATTGTTCTGTCTACACGAGTCTGGCAGTGTTAGTGTGAAGGTGAGACGCAAGACAGGCACAGTGGCGGTGTTACCATCACCCCTCGACGCCCCGGCTGAGAGCATCAGTAGTTTGGGTATGCACTGTGAAGTCTAAACTGTCCTATGTATTGGACCGAGTTGCCATGACTTAACAACTTTATACATACTAGTGGCATCTAGGGACACAAGTCCCTAAAAAGTTCAAATTATTGTTGTATTTAAACAAACTAAGAATCAAATGAGCTTTCAAATGTAGCTCTGAAAATTGAAAGTTGTTAGTTAATCATTTTTTAATCACTGAAAGCAGAATTTATCTTAATTATTTCTTGATTAGTAAATAAACTTCACACACTCTATCAACAAATTAAAAGCAGAATAAAAATGATAGTATATTTGTAATCACTAGGGGTCTGCCGGTAGGCCAATTCTGACCTAATTACCGGTCTGGTACAGACTATAACAATTAATTACTTTTAATTCACTGTCGTTGGTTAGGAGCACATAAAAAGGTTTATCAGATGTTTGTTTAGGATTTTCATAATTTATTACTAGGGTAATGGTGCAATAAAAAACCCATTAGCAGTCCCAAAACCATTAATATTTTATCAGGACAATAATTGTTGTAGGCAAGTCAAGTATTTCCAAGAATTCTTTGAGACTGTAGTTTAGCTAAGTTTTATCACTTTTATTCCTTTACGACTTACATGATTTATTACTAGCATACCTAATTTAATGTTTAAAGAAAAAGTCAGTATAGAAATACTAGAAAGGCAAAACAATAGAAGGATGGGAGGAGTTGGGCAATGACCTCGAAAGGAGCGTGCCACAACGAGTGGACAAGGGGGGGGGAGGGTGCAACCTTGAGCTATATTTAGACCTTGGCTGGGGATTCTAATAGGAGGACTAATGATACAAAGTTGTATTTCAGGAATCCTTTGCCCGGTTTGACTTTGGATTCTCTTTTCTGTGTAGCAACTTTGAAGCACCATGATTTGCATTTTTACATCAAAATACAACATTGCACAATCATGATATTTAGGTCATTGGCCTTTATTAGCATCTGGTTGTGTTGTTTCAGAAGAGAAGCATAATTATAAATTGTTGTAGTTGAAAACAATTAATAAATAATGGTTTAAATACCTATTACTGTCAAAAGTGATCCTTTGTAGTCTATGTAGGCTACTGCAGTTTCATTCCCGGGGGAACTTCATCAGGCTTCGAATGACATCAAAACTTTATTCCAGAGGAAGTCGTCATGGTAAAAATCCATCAAAGTCATATTTACTTAAATCACGGACAAACACATGAATTAACACATAAGTTAAACATTACAAAAACACGGTACCGTGAAACACGTTAATTACGCACGGAGGGCAGGTCTAGACTGATGCGTATGCGTTATCTCCAAGTGCAATTCCTCCCCCTCCTTCTTCCTTATCACGAGTTGACCATTGTTTTGTTTGCGACTCACCTATTCTTATTGCCCATTCGTATATTATATTGGACTTGAAACCTCTTTGTTCATTTAGGACATTGTGTGGTTCTTTTTTTCACAGCCTTGTAAATCTCGTACTCTTCCTGTTGGGGGCGGGTTCAAAGGAGAGAATGAGAAAATTTTACTGAGTAGCGAAAGAGAAATTCAAACTTTAATTTACAAAATATATCTTAAATATGGGAACATGTCAGAGTAATACCAATTAATTAAATGAGTATATATACAGTTACTTGAGATTTGAGTCCTTGGGTTTGGTAGAGATGCCTTGACGGTAGACTGAAGCGGGGAGCGAGAAGATCACCAGGGGCGGACAGTCTTTGAATGGGTGAATCTTCTCCAGGAGCGGGTAGATGAGGGTACTCTGCGTAGCCGTAGAATCCGTAGAAGGTAGAAGGTCACAAAATCATTTAGAGGTCTTCCCGTCACAGCACTTTGGTATTTTTACAAATTAAAAGGCACTCTCTGACATTTAGAAGGGGGAGATATTATAAAACACATACTTTAATAATTACATGTTAAACCTTATTAGTTTACTTTAAAACAGTCAAAATTGAATCTACTATATACAAGAGAATGAGCAAGGAGTACATGTTGACTCTGGGTTAACTAAGGCAGGAGTGGACAGTGCAGACTGGAAAAGTAGGTCAGATAAGATAAGCTATCTTTGGAAATCCTGGTACTAGTAGAAAATTCAAATATATTAAACTAAAACCAAACACTTCCATTGTGTCCATGAAACGGCGGCTTTTACATTTATGCAGAATTTTGAGGTTGTCGTCTATTTTTGAGTAATTATGTCTATTATTAATTAAGTGATTGGCGTACGATGGTGTATGTTTAGTAGTGGGTTTACCTGGTAGGTGTTCATTGAATCGGACGTTAAATGATCTAGCTGTTTGGCCTATGTAATAACAAGGGCAATCGTTACCGTTTAGTATGTAAATACCCGTGCTGTTCATGTTATTTTCATCTGTTTCGGGAGTTGTATTTTTCTTAATGATATTGCCTAATTTATTTGATGTTTTGAAAGATATTGTAGTGTTATTTTTGCCCATATGACTTTTAATTGTGTTGCTGAGTACAGTGCCATATTCCAAAGAAACATATTGTTTGGTCGGTTTTGGATTATTGTTTATTTTATTTGCATTTTTATGAACTAGCCTGTCTATTATATCACTCTTGTAACCGTTGGACACGGCAATGAACTTCAAGGGGTTCAGTTCTTCATTATAGTTCTCGGGGCTCAGTGGTATGGATAAAAGTCTGTGCACAAAGCTATTGTTCGCCGCCATTTTTTGATTCATTGGGTGGTGGGAGGTGATATGGATGGTCTGAGAAGTGGTCGTTGGTTTCCTGTAAATTTTATATTGGAATTGGGTTTTTGTCCTGAAGATCGTGAGGTCGAGGAAATTAATCGATTTACTTACTTCTTCTTCTTTGGTGAATTGTAATTGAGGATGAAAACTATTGAAGTGGTTACACAGTAATTGTAACTGCCTTTTATTTGTGAAAACAATTATTTTGTAAACCTATAAAACATTACATAACTCATAAAGATAACAACATACAACGTCATTATTCTTTCATTCTTTCTTGGATTTCCCTTCATTCCCATTCAACAAGTTGCCATGGTTACTAATCACCCCGTTAGAGACTACCAATGATATAAACAACTCATGGATCGCTGGCTCAGTGTTGGCCACGCGGTCCGGCGCTCCCCCACTCTCTACTGGCAGAAGCCCATACACTCACCGTATAAAACACACATTTTTAGATGCTGCTCTGTTTGAATATGTAGAGATGAAAAATTTCTAATGCATGTCGAACTCTTTTTACAATTAAAAACTTAATGTATGTTTTGTTTCTTGCATAAAATAACCCATTGGAACTCTTTAAAACTAGACATTTACTAATTACTCTTTAAACTTGATTTTAGATGTTTTTTTTTTCACAAAACTGACATGACTAGTTCAAAACGATACATGGTAAAAAAAAGTAATTGCAAAGAAAGGATAGTAAGTACATAATTTGTCATTTCATACTCGATTTATTCATGAAAACAACATTAAATATTTTTGAATAAAATAATTTTGTGAGTTTCTGTTGCAGACCTATGTTAGGTGTAAACGTGATATTTTTTTTTTGTTTTGCTGTGTGGTGGTAATATATTTTAATAAAAAGGTCACAAATAAACTTAATTAATTGCAATTCATGGGTGTCTTCCCAAAAAAAAAAAAAACATTCTTGATGTGTCCCTTAAAAATAGTGCCCACAAAATGGGCACACACACGGCTACAAATAGTGTTTTTGTGTTAAAGTTTCCTTTATGTTTAAGCTGACAATTTAATACATTGTAAACGTACTTAACTACCTTAAAAGCATCTTTGTGTGCCCTAATGAGCTTACCTTTAGTTACATAATCAGTCAGTTGAGTATAATAACTCAAATTGTGTTTTACAGAAAGGAGCACAGCAATACAGTCTTGACATTTGATCGTAGGTACAAGTTTCCTTACAATAAAGCCACTAATGTCATAGAAGACATTGTCCTTATAATATGATCGTTCTTTGCTGTCAAATAAAAGAGACATGGGGACACTGAAACTGTCACAACGTTTTTTTATCATAATCCATACCGAAACCGCTACAGCAATTAGGAAGGATTATAAGGGTGTTTTTGAGTGGGGTAGAAATACTGAAACTGCCACAGCGGATTTCCCAGGTAGACAGGGAGAAACGGGAGACTTATAATTCCCATTTCTGTCTTAAACTTTTACGTTAACATCTTAACATCTCTTTCACAATAATACGTCGATTGGAAAAAATGTGTTTGATTTGCCCTTTCGTATTTATATTTTAGGAGTTATTTTATGTTTATTTAGGTCTTTGGTGTTGCAACTGTTAGAGAATTTACTTTTAGCGAATTTCCCTATAGGGAAGTAGCTATTACGGTAGGTCTCATGGTAAGACCTAGGCCCGGGACCGATTTACTTTTTCATTTTGATGTCCACAGAGGCCAAAAACACCATTCGTTCAAATTTTTATATATATATGTCCATCCGCACGATAACTTGAGTAATTTTTGTCCGATTTTGATAAAATTTGGTTTAAAGGTGTAAGGCAGGATAAACTCGAACGAGTTCGCGAACCAGCATGATCGGACTATGGCAACGGGGGTTTACGGGGGGTTTTATGGGGTAAAAATAGGTTTTTCCCATTTTTGACCCAAAAAACATAAAATTTTGCAAAATCTTTTCAAACCATTTTGTAGAGCTTAAAAAAACAAATAATTTAGTATATTGAAGTGTTACTATGCGCCTAATGGTTACGGAAAAAATTCCAAAAAAATGTAAATTTTAAATTCCCATGTTATTCTTATGGAGAATGAGTAAACTGTTGTAGTTTGCTTGTTTATGAACATATTTTGATCAAATTTGGAAAATGTTTTTATTTCTTACTTACTATTAACATTTTACAAAAAAAGTTTTACCCTCCCTGATGCAGCAAACCTAAGTACCTGTTAAAATAATTCTATTTAAATAGGAAATAAATGTTAAATTTTTAACTAGACATTTTAGTGTAAATCCAATCAGACATATGGAAATTCGCTTAGTCTGCAGGTTTGCTGCGGCGGGGGTATTTAAGTATTTATTCCGTCTCCTGTGAATATATTTACACAAGCCCGGACGCATTTATTTCATTGTGCAATATTTACAATGTACAATTTTAGTTTAACCCTATCAACAAAATAAAAAAAAAACATTTTTCAGTTAAGTTAAACATGCTGTAACGAGTTAAGGAATCACTTACTCAGACACCTTGTTTATAATTTATTAGATTAGGTACTTACACGTGAAACGAAATGCCACTGTCTTTCTGTACTCTGTTGGTGCAGTTGTAAGCGGAACAAGACACAACCATTTTAAACACATACTTAGCGTACAATTAAAGATATTGAAACATTTTAATCTCGTTTTTAAAAAAACCGAACACTGTTGTTACATCAAACAAGTGTTGAAATGGGTGACAGCTAGCATGCACGTGAGGTACGCCGCCGCTATCTTGCCAGTGGGGGAAGCTAGACCGAAAACAGCGCCCACTACGCCACTGAGAGCGCAATCCAGTAATTCTTTACATCGTTGGAGACTGGGGAGCGAGCTGGCGTAGTGGTTAGAGCGCGGGACTTTAGTCCCTGAGGTCCCGGGTTCGACCCCCGCCAAGTCACCAATGGATTTTATCTAAGTGATAATGCCGCAACCCCTAGGTCTAGCCTGAAGTAATGTGAAAAACAATCCCAGGCTCGTGCCTGGGGTCCTTAGGACAAAAAAAAAAAAAAAAACATCGAAAACATCGTTGGAGACTACTAAGCATTAAGTATTCTATCAGCAAACTTTTATCATCACTTATTGATAACAACAGCATTTTTATGAGTTTTATATTTTACTAGTTGTCCTACCTGTACCTAGATAAAATAGAAAAAAAATTATCTTTACATTATTATGGTGTATAAAACGTTGGGACATCTGCCAACACTTTTAGAAATAAAATTCAACCATACCACTTTATTTGATAAACGTTTATGACTTTTAAATCACATAAGTAGTGGAAACCATAATTTTTTTTGATGAATTTTAAACATTGTATTTGATAATATAAGAAAATCTTACCAAATTTTACAATAACATTAACATTTACCCTCCTAATAATAAGGTCTAGGCCTGGGTCTTTTGATTCATTGGAAAAGCTTTAAAATGTACTATGAAAATTGAATTGAGCCTAAGATAAAAAGAACACCCAGTTTATTGTGTTTAGGCCTAGTTGGAAATAATTTTACTATTTGTTGATATTTTCCTCTTACATAGTTTTCTCTTCAAGTTACAACTATAATATATATAATTACTATATATCATATTTATTCCAAAAAATTGTTAACTTAATTTTAATGCTTACACATCAATGTAGTTACTTCTGGAATGTCCGTGTAACTTATACTGTAACAGAACTTCACTGTCTTAGAACCAGTAGTCTTGACTGCCAGGCAGGTAGACATCAATCATGCAGTTGAGTAGATTTTATGTTTTGTAGAAGGTATTGTGACTAGTTAGTTTGTATGTGGTGCAGATATGGCGGGTATGGGTGGCTCAGACGTGTTTCTGAGTTATGAGCATCGCTGCCAGAGTGAGGTGATACGGCAGATGAAGGGCTCCAAAGTACTAGCCATTGCTCTAGACCCGATGACGGAGAAGAATATTGGTTAGTAAAGTGACAATATTTTATAAATTAGTTGACCCTGTAAAGTGTAGAGTGTTAAGGTAAAAGAAATACAATTTTAATCCTAAAAACACATGACGTTTAAAATTACATTTATTGACCGCAAGGTGGGTACCTCTAAATTCAGCTATCCTATATATAATTTTTGATCCCGTGCACTCCCAAGGTAATATGCAAGTGAAGTACAGTAACAAAAATTAAACGGTGTTGTGTCATAAAGACAAAAATAATATTTTAACTCCACTTAAAGTTTATTGTTCTTTACAACCTCCATCAAATATTAGTATATTTGATGGAGGTTAGTTTTTATGATCTGTTTGGATTTGTTAGGATGATGTTAGGATGATCGTTAGGATTGATTGTTAGGAATGATTGTTAGGAAGGATTGTTAGGAATGATTGTTAGGATTTGTTTGGATGATTTGAATTTGATTATATGTCAATGCCAAAGTTTACCATGTTATGTTAATTTAGTCAACTATACTATCACCGTCTCTTCCCTCTGCATTCCAATAAAAAAAAAAAACAATAATAATAAAACCATAATTTTTAAAACAAAAAAATTGTTAATTGAATTATGATATTCTTCTTGCAGTTTTGCTGTTGAACTCTGGGAAGATCGTTCACCTTGAATTGGAAGTGTGCGGTTTGAGTGATAATGATTACTTTCCACTTTGTTTGAGTCAGATGTTCAAACCAATCACTGATGTGAGTATACTAAAAACATTAATCCTCAAATCTGTAAGAGTACTATACGATGTAAACAAAGTTTAAATCAAGATAAAGCTGTATAGAAGAGTTCTCTTAAGAGTCTTAAGTTGTTAAAGTAGATTATGTGGCATAGAGTTTTATGGCTCACACAGCTGTATTAAAATAAGTTGCAAATTCCTCCAGAGAAATAATGGGGTACAGTAGGATTAGTTATAAATAACTTAAAAATCATAAAATTTGCATAAAGTTTGTATATATAATATTACTAGCTGTAACCCGCGGGCTTTGCCCCGTTTTCAAGATGATCTCGTTCGCATGGCTCAATCACGTCCGGGTTGAAGTTCGTTCGCTACGCTCACTCACCTTTTGGTTGCAAATTAGCTGTTGTCATAAATGTAAAAGAAATAATAGTGCTGCACCCTGTTGGTAATCCTTGTAACTTTAATGCTATTGAACATCATAGAACAGAACCAACTTGTTTAATTGAAACAGCTGTTAAGATTCATTAATTCCATTTCTCATAAGGTTAACATGGGAAACTCCAGAGCCACTGGGGCGGAGCCGATTGGACGGATCACGAAATTGATGGTGTATAAACCTATTCCATGAAATTCTACACGTATTTACCAAGTTTCGTGGCAATCGGTTCAGCGGTGTCTGAGTTTATCACTGCCAAACAAATATACAAACATCCTCTTTTATACTTATAGATACTATTGAAAAAATCTCAAAAGTAATTATCTTTCCTCAGTGCGGACGACACTTGATATAACAAATTAACATGAATCTATCACAAGTTAGGCATGACAATTCTAATATTACAGATAGAAGAAGTAGATAGTCATTCTTATTTTGTTGGCTACTCATCACTAAATTAAAATTATACATAATTTACTAAAAAAATGTGGAGGTATATTTCGAGTTTTCATCAAAACTCATCTTCAGCCTTTGGTAACAACATGTAAGGTAAACAAAATCTAAGTAGATAGTGTTTGTAACTGATTGTAGGACACCAGTGTGGTGCCACCACTCAAACTGATGACCACAGGGCTGCTAGGCTCAGTGGCGGCCCCCCTCTCTGTCATCCGAATGTGTCCTCCACTGACCACTCGGAACCGCTCACACTACCACCCTCTCATGGCGGGAGGCACTCAGTCTGGCCTAGTACAGGTAGGTTGACCTTATAAATGCAAAATAAAAAATATAAAGAGTTGTTTAAAAATATGTTACTATTTATTCACTATGAACATACAGAACGACATGTAGAACCCAGAGGAGGGGAATATTTAGTACAAATTTGATAATGGATATTATATTTCAATTTCTTGATTGAATGGTTTGCAATTGTGGCGCAAGGGTGGGTCGATTCTAGGGGTCTGTGGTACAGAAAATTTAAGGTCGGTACGGTTCGGTACGGTACAATATTTTGTACAGTCCAACCTCAGTATAATGAATCTGAAGGGACCGAACTGAAAATTCGTTATATCAAGGATTTCGTTAAAACGAAGTTCGTTATATTGAGGTTAGGTTTGCAGGAATTTCGCTAAGTCGAGGTTCAGAACCAGCGTCGGTCAATATAGGTTGGGATTTGACCTCATTAAAATACAGTACAATTAAAGTAGCATAGGCTACAATACTTTACAGTACAGTGTTTACGTTGTACAGTAGAACCTAAATTATCCGGCATAATAAAGGGGAGGGATCTTGAATATTGCACAATCATGACAATGGCATTGACCTTGGTACAGTTAAAAACTGTAAGTTTAAAATCACAGCTTGTTCTAACCCTCCTAAAACCTATAGTCCAGGCAAATTAGATCAAAAATAGGGTGTGCTCCCCAAAAAATCGTCTAAAGCTGGAAAGTGTTTAAATACCTTTTGGGGGTCCCAAATAAGACTCCTGTGAGTTTGCGACGGATTCTGACGTCTGCTTAAGTTTTGGGAGTCGAAAAACTAAGAAAATTTTGCACTTTTTTCAGTTTTTCGCTTATAACTCCTGAATAACGAATCCTAAGGAAAATGTTGTTCAAAGGTGTCTTTTTGTGCATTTAATTTCGCGTCGATTGGTGTTAAATACGTCAAAATCGACCTAGCCGTTTAGCCGCTGTGGCTTTTCAAAGTTGCGATATTTTCATCAACATGGCCAAAAGGTTGATTATTTGACCAGTTTTCGGCTTACAACTCCTAAACGACGCATGCTATACAAAAATGCACCTGTAGTTAGTTTGGAAAACACATAATTCTGCGTATAATGTTTTTTTTATTAATTAATAACGGTAATTGATTGTTACCTTCTTTGTATGGTCGCCATTTCATTGAAAAAAGTATTAAAGTTAAAGTTGGAAAATTTAACTAAAATTGGTTACAACGTAGATCCTGTCCTTAAATGGATTATGAATTATTAGATACGGTAGTGGTTTATTCCATGATGGTTATCCAGAGGTTTATCTAATAAGGTGTGAAGAATCTGGCAAACAACCAGCCTAATTACCAAAAACATAGGGGATATGGCAGTGAATCTATCAATGAATCTATCCACGAATCTATCCACTAGTGTGACGTCATGGATCCTGCAGCATGGCATATTTTTCTAGTGGGGCCTTGTCTGAACACGTCCTTAACTTATAGCATTGACTATTGGATTCAGAAGAAGACGTCCCATCCATATGGATCAGCTGTCGCCAATTTTTTACTAAAAACTAATGTAGTTGTCTGAGCCAGTCACAGATTGCTCTAGTGTCTAAAACTCTATTTTGTACCTTGTTTTTTGTTTCTGACATAGTTACTGGGTTACCTTAATTACCTGAATTACCTCCTCTTCATCGATGACCAGCCTAGGCTGGATAGATAGCGTCAACGAAAAACAAAAATAAAAACTATATACATTTATATACATTTAAAACTGTGTGGTGGCGGTGGACAGCTAGTTCATCGCGCCAGCATACTTGAAGAACTCCGTAGTTGAGTAGAAAGGGTTCTCCAATAAAAATTGTTTGATTTTATTTGTGAACACTTTTGTGTCAAGTTCTGTTATTTTACCAGGCAGAGCATTGTACATCCTGACAGCTATGGCCGGGAAACTGTCTCTCGTCATAGTTAGTCTGTAGCGATCAGTATTTAATTTATGGGCACTTCGGACATTATGGTCGTGCATGTAACCCCTTGTTTCATGAGAGTTCAAATTTCCTTTGACGTGCAGAAGGCAATTGTAGGTGAACTGATTGAACACGGTAAAAACATTCAGCATTTTGAAAAGTGGTCTGCAATGTTCCCGTCTTTCGCTGCTTGTAATTATTCTTAGGGCTTGTTTTTGCAGTTTGAGAATCTTGGTACAGGCGGGTGCGTGGCCCCAGAGTATGATGCCATAGTTGATGTGACTGTGAAATAAGGAGAAATAGACCATCAGAAGATATTGTTTAGTGATCTGGTGCTTAAGTTTTCTTAAGAGGAAATTGACCCTACTCAGCCTAAGACAAACTGAGTCCCATTGAAGTTTTGGATCCAGGATAAAACCGAGTAGTTTAACTGGAATATCTTGAGATGGAGATGATTTACTGAGTGTGCACAGGAGCTTTTGCGTTTTATCTTCATTTAACCTGAGGCCATTTAGTGAGAACCAATTTCTTGCAATTTCAAACAGCTGGTCAGATTTGGTTATTGCTTCGTTGGGGCACTGCCCCTTGCCGTACAAGGTTGTGTCATCCGCACAGAGTAGGGTATCCCTTTCTCGTACAAGGTCGTTCATTAGGATTATAAACATGGTGGGCCTTAATATAGAGCCTTGCGGCACTCCATGGTCCATCGCAGCTGGCGCGGAGAGTGCTCCATCAACTGACACGATCTGGTACCTATTTTCAAAATAAGAGTGAAAAGTCTTGAGCACTGTCCCTCCAACTCCGTAACGTTTAAGTTTTTCCAACAAAATGTCATGAGACACCACGTCGAAGGCCTTCGACAAGTCACAAAGGACCAGTGCCATAGACTGCCTATCCTCAAAAGCCTTTAACGTTTCTGTCACCAGGGAAGTAAGAGCAGTAGTGGTAGATCTGCCTTTGCGGAACCCATGCTGTGAACTAGTGAAGTAATGGTTTGTCTCAAAGAATGCTATTATCTGATTTTGCATGATTTTCTCAACAATTTTGGCTACTATGGGTATAATCGATATGGGTCGATAACTTGAGGCAAGGTTTGTGTCGCCTTTTTTAAATATAGGGATAGTTCTCGAAATTTTCAAATAGTCAGGGAAGATACCTTCGGCCAGACAGCCGTTTACAATGATTGAGAGTGGTACAGCAATGGTTTCTACAATTTCCTTTAGGAGGTTGGTTGAAAGACCATAAATGTCCGCACTGCGGGAGTTTGAAAAATCTTTGGTGATTTTGATGATTTCAGCAGGTGTTGTAGGACTCCACTTTTTTAATTCAGCCGCTGAAGCAACTGACACACCGTCAGCAGCACTTTCATTTCCAGGGGCTTTTTGTACATTTACAATCTCTTTCACAATATTTACAAAATAAGAGTTATAATCATCAGGGCTTAAAGTACTATTTACAATTTCCTTCTTCTTCCTAGACTCGTTGACTACTGCCCACGCCGCCTTACATTTGTTGTTCGATTTCTCGATTAATTCCACTGTATACAATTTCTTAGTAGTATCAACTTTACCCTTATAGCTACGTTTAGCCCTAAGATAAAGTGCATATAGCCTATCTTTCCTCTCCGCGCATGTTTCAGATTTGTATCTGTCAAATATAGTCTGTACCAAAAGCCTAAATCTACCAAGCTCAGGTGTGTACCAGTTTTTTGTTGTTTGTTTCCTCATTTTATTTTTTGACCTTGGCCTAGGCTTAATGGTTTGAGGGAAATAAGTGTCGAACACATCCATGAGTTTGGTGTGGAAAGCCTGCAATGCACATTCATTGTTATCAGCACTTAATTCATCAAACCAGTTTACCTTCCTCAAAGCTTCTTTGAAGTGAGGGATGACCTCTTCATTTATTACTCTTCTATGGAAAAGATAATTTTCATGCCATGGAATAATTGGAGCATCACTTACCACTTGGTTCCTTATGGTAATTTCCACTGGTGCATGATCCGCAATGACGGCCGCTGACACCTCCGTGTTGTAGTCCCATGTATCGAGATTGGTTGCTATTGTGTCCAGACACTTATCTCCTCTAGTGGGTGTGTAGTTGGTGATGTAGAGGCCCTGGCCCCTGAGTAGGACTTCAAATATGTGCCTATCAGCTGAAGATGCATTCAAAGCGATATTAAAATCACCACCCATCACAATTCGTTTCATAGGCCTGAGATTTGTGAAAAAACATAGGCATTTTTCTAGAGAGTCAAAAAATATTTCTAAGTCTCCATTAGGAGAACGATAAAGCTGAAATTACTATCATGTTCAAATCGGTGAGCTCAATAGCACATAGTTCTATATTTATTTCTGAACAAAACTTAGATACATTTACTGGCTTATAATTAAGTCCATGCCTGACATATAAAGACACACCTCCATTTTGGTGCATGTTTCTAAAGTAGCCATCAGCATAGGCAAGGTCACCAACAGACCTATAGCAATCAATTTCACTAGCAACGAGCCAGTGCTCACTTAAACCCAAGACATTAGGCATATCTTCATATTCAAACTGAGAAATTAAATTATATTTTGTTCTTATACATTGTACATTCATAATTACTATTTTAAATTCAAAACTTTGAGAAACTGAGTTGAGTGGGTTTTGATTAGGCAAATCTACAAAGGCCTGTGATTGTTGAAAGGTCTTTTGAATAAAAAACGTTTCAATGTGACATGCTTTGGCCACTTGGAACCATCAAGTAGCTTGTCTTTGTCATCAAAGCTCACTCCGAGTTTGAAACAATTGTTAAATCCTTTACTTTCTAGTAGGGATGGACGAGATTGAATTTTTAGTTCGAGACGAGACGAGACGAGATTTTTTATTTCTCATAAAATTTCGAGACGAGATCGAGACGGGATTTCCCTTCTCATACACAACGGGAAATGCATGTTCAAAATTTTTACCTGATTTTGTAACATTGTTAGATGACTGTTTAAATACAAAAATAATGATAATAGGCAAGAATATTTACAATCTTTTATTAAAAAACATCAGCATAACATTTTTTTATTAATCACGCCTAACTTATTA